ACTGTAAGAACCGGATCCCTCATTCCCTCATTCCCAACGAAACGCCGGGCAGATCAGAGTTTAGGGTTCAGAGTCTTTGCTTTTTTAGAAGCAGTCCTCAATGGAAAGCATTGCGTAGGAATGTGGCCGGAAATTATGTTTGCATAGGTCGTAAAAAGGTACCGTGCAAGTGCCAGGAAAATCGCAACCGTGAAGCCCCTGGAAAGTACAAACTGAGCCTTCTTGTTGTCTGCTTTCCTTCGGAATTATTACTCCTTGCTTTCGGCACCGGGGCGCTTGCAGCAGTGCCCTTGGAGAGCTTGCATTCCGATAGCACCCAGCGTGTGTCAGAACTAGTCTTCTTTTGCCATCTTCAATCTCAACCTCTAGGCAGTATCACAAGGTCTGCTGTGCCAAATCATGCCGTCTGAATCCCTCTCTTACTGGGTTGCTTGTAAGGAACTTATATTAAGTTACCATAATATAGGTATATGGTAAATAATAAGGTTTCCTTACCATAGTAACTTAATCTAAACTTCCTTCACAGCCACTCAGCTTACTGGGCTGCGGGCATATTGCACCGCCGACGCAGCTGGCTTCGACATGTCCCTGTCACGCACTCGTGGTGGCGACACTCGAAATCAGGGAGATGGAAATCTTTCTGCCTGGACCTGACAAATACCCATAATAATGGCCTTTTACCCTAAAACACTGGAGATATAAAAAGTTATAACGCCTATTACTATGGGTGTTTGGGAAGGCTTCATCTATGAGGTAGTAGCAGGATGGCCTGTATCTCGAGACGTTCCCTAAACCTGAATCCTAAGTCCCTCACACCACCTCACGATCCCCAAACACGGCTTCATCCTGATGTTGACAGGAGAGAAGCTGAACAAATGTTCGCGCTGCACTCCTTAAGAACCACTAGAGCCCGCCTATGCTTGCCGTGTGCTCCACAGACTCCTCATGGTCCCTCTCCTGTCAGATCACCCCCGGAATCAGTACCACCTTTTCTGAGAAAGCCCATAGTGCACAACCCTATATCCTCCACCGTGAACCCTAAATCCTGACTGCTAAGTTGCAAGCCCTCCAAGCCCTCAACACCGATAAGCGACCCGTAGCTTGAATGCGGCCTGTCTAAGCCAGCGCGCCCAAACGCCTGGGACCGAAGGAGCATTTGGGTTCGGGGGTTTACTCGTAGGTTCCTGGGACTTAGCTAGTCACTACATACAACTGGTAATGTAGCCGTCGAGAACTGAGGACTGAGGCTAGTGATAAGGATTAGGAGATTATGACAAGGGTGATCATCCCTGCTTCGAGTACTTACCACATCCCATGCACCTCCATGTAGGTTTTGGAGGTTTAGAGCGAATTGCTGATGAGTGAAAAGTAAGATGATGGGAACAGAAACCCACAATCCAGACAATGGAGGGGTAAGCGAGAAATTCGCCAGGAAATCTAGGAGTTGCAGCGAAGTGCCGACAAATCTTAGCAGTAGCTCATGTAGTGCCGTGGTAGTAGTAGCATCAAGTAATCATTAAGTTTCCATTTTCTTTTCCATTATCCCCTATATAACCCCAATATATACCCTACAATCCCTATATAGCCCATTATCGTTCCCCTATATAACCCCAATATACGTATTATGGTCGCAGAAACTACTGTGAGGGACTCTCCCAAGACAGCATCAGAGATCCTTAACTCGGTCTCAGGTGCTCCCATGGGAGCTGAAGAAAGGCTTTGTACTCCTCAACAAGGGCCACCACCCCCAAAAAAACAAGGATTTCAAAGGGTTACTTGGGAAGGTGAAGGTCCCTATGAAGGGTTACAGGATCTGGTTGGTCGCAGTTTGGGGACCCGAAAATCTGTGCGGCCATGCTAGACTTGATACTCAAAAAGGGACACTAATTTTGAGAAAGGGGCCACAAGAGCTATAGTGAAAACTCCTAGCATCCCCCTGAATACCCCCGATAGTAGTCCCCTATATAGTCCCCTATATAATCCCCTATATAATTCCCCCATTAAGGAGTTTATATTCTGGGCCACATAAAAAGGTGGACCCTCCTTTGCCGCCCACCCTGGCATCTTCGAGGTTCCGGCATTGTGTGGTGCCATTGATTCGGCCTCCTGGGCTTTAGAACTGTCTTACTCTTACCCAAAGGGTCAAGTCCAAGTACCCAATCATTAAACATTTACATAGGTGTAGTGTAATAGTAATCATCGCACAGGTTTGGGGTAAGTATATGATTATTCTGTACTTGGACCCTTAGGGTACTTGTGCTTTATGGGCTGACTGTTAGCAGGGAACGAGGGAATGTAAATGAAAATCAGGCTTGGGGGTCTTCGGGCCTTAGGGCTTCGAATTTACCCTAAGGGACCAAGTACCTAATTTTCATATGCTTACCCAGAAACTGTTCTATAATTACTATAGCCCAAAACCCAAGTGGGTACATGGACCCTAAACCCTAAATCCTATTTATCCCTATATTACCCCATATATCCCTAAATCCTAAACATGGACCCTTAGGGTGAGGGAAAGAGATGACCAAGTCAAACCCCACATGAGCGCAAATGCGGTGAGTTTCTTGACCATCGCTATGACAGCAGTGCTTCGAGGTTTATGCTGTTGATCCCTAGGGACCCTCCAATAGCAAATAGTTTGGGTAAGGGTCCAAGTACTCGAATGGTAGAAAATTTTGGCCCAAATGGGTTCCTATATTGGCACGTTGGGCTCTCTATTTAGGTACTTGGGCCCCTCAGGGGATGGACCGAACCGTGCTATGACCCTGCCAACCTACCTTATTAGGAGCTCTGGTAATGCAAAGGCTCGGGCAGGACTTTGTCCATAAACCGTCTGAGTTCACAACTGCGGGATCGTGATCCTAACTACCACCCCTAGGTAGCTTTTTGGCTAGGCACATAAACCTCCAATCATCTCCAATCCTAAGTATTGCCGCGCTGTCATGAACTAGCAAGAAGCAAACGAAATGGCAACAGCATGTTAATCAGTAGTAGTGCTGGGAAGAATTGCTGACTTGTGAAACTCTTCCAACTGCTACATGATAATGCGAAATCGAATCTCACTAGCCTCACCAACCGCTTTTCTTGCTGGTTGTTGGCAGGCAAGGGGAGAGATGGATCCTTACAGCAGCCCCATTAACAAACCTACAATAGTTTCCATGATTTTTTTCCACTCCTTCATCCTTACTACAGAAACAACCACTGAGTACATGAAGGCTTCAAGCCTCTAACGACAACTACGTGCACAACGGCTGCTGCTGACAAAGTAGATACTGGGTCATCCTTGAAGATCATTATATGTTTGCTGTATTATTGAAGGGACTTTAATGGGAACTCCTTACAGGAAACCCCAAGAATATAGGAATATAAGACGAATATACCTACCAGGGTCTTATATTCTATTATATTCTACTATATTATTGGGGTCCCCTGTTTGGGGTTCCCATTAAAGTCCCTTTAGTTATACTACGTACAGCCCAGAAGGTGTATAAACATTTAGCTAGCTTCTCATGCTATCCCACTAGGGAGCCAGGACAGAATGCGGTGGGCACATGGAAGGAATGTCTCAATTTGCATGAATCTACCTCAGCATCAGCCTCTTTCTGCATTTCACTGCAAAAAGATCCTAAACGAGGAGTTCGGCTGAAAGTCAATTGGGATTGCAGCCAGCAACATCCTGATTTAACCCCCAAGATCCAGAAGCCCAAGGCGTGAACTTACAAACCTCAGCCCCACACTAAAAGGCCCAAACACGGATGCCTACAACCCCCACTTAGCCCCAAACCCTAGATTCCAAGACCTACGCCCAAGCTCTGCACCCCGCACCCCAATACCCTGGACCCTAAACCCTAAAACCCAAACCCCAATACACTAAACCCCAATACCCCAATACCCTAAACCCTAGACCCCAATACCCTGAAGCCGAAACCCTACACCCCAACAACAGTCGTTGGGCCCCTGGCCTTGATATCTCCTTGCCAACATGTCACTAGAGCTATAGTCAGCATCCCCTACATAGCCCAAAGGGTCCAATGGCTTAGGGTTTAGGGTTGAGGAGTATATGGCGTTATATAGGGGGATATGGGGATATATAGGGTTTAGGGTTTAAGGTCCAAGTGCCCAAGAATTAGCTACTTGGGTTTTGGGTAATAGCAATTATAGTACAGTTTTTGGGTAAGTATATGATTATTAGGCACTTGGACCCTTAGGGTAATTTAATGGACATGAGCTACTAATTAGGGACTCTTTTCGGGACTATACTGAACTACAAGAAGGACCCCTGTCTCCGCTGCTCCACTTTTCAGCGTCCATTAGTAAGGCGAATATTGACTGCAGCTCAGATGCACATTGTTGTTGTAGGCTTAAGAATTTACACCCTTGGCTGAGGCCATTCCCTAGGGATGCAAATAGCCCAAAGTAGGTGCCACGGCGGGAGGAGGATAACTAACACCGCTTAAGAGAACAAAAAAGCGAGGCTCCTAGAGGGCTGTAGGGCATGTAAGCTGGTGCAAGATTCCCTCAATCCACCTTATTCATTGACTGTGGGGCCAAGCTGTCTAGATTGATTTAAAGTTCCGGGATTGGGTGAGGTACTAAAGGTTCAGGGCTCAAGATTTGTTTTCGGACGTATGGTTTGAAGTTTCAGAGTTTGTTGTCTCCTGCCACTGGACGATATCTTGCACCATGCTGGCCGTTGGCCTATGAATAACAATACTTTGGTAGATCCTGAGTGGATTTTCTTCATCCACCACTTGGGCCACTTCGCACAGCAATGTTTTTTTTCAGCCTCTGAGCGCTTTACAGACGTCGTAGAGTAGAGGGTTTGGGGCTTAGGGTGCTGTATATTCCCTGGTGCCAGCCTAGGTGAGGCACTAAGACAATCCCTACACATCTTCAAGAATCTTATCGAGCATAGCACTGTAACGTTTCAGAGGTAAAGGCATTGCAGCAAGCTGAGCTGTCGCGAAGCATCCATGCACACCCTAGGCCTCACTGCAGTCCTTCCGATTCTCGCTTCTGGGACATCCAGCCGAATACATCGAGGAAGAGTACTCCCTTGAAGGAGAAGGGCACCATGGCGCCGTTTTCCTAGCAGGGCAAAAAACGGGTTTATAGGTTTGGGTTTCATGCAGGAGTTTTCTCGATTGATGCTGCTTCATTTTTCATTTTCGCTGCGATGTTTGAGCATGAAACTGTCTGCCCTTTTGTCGACGCAACAGCTCCAGAAGAACAGATAGAGGCGCGTTGCCAGCAGCAACATGACATCGATAAGTAAAGCATTGCTGCTGCAACAGGAAACCTCGCAGCAACGAGCATCGCAATCATGCTGGGAATATACATGCTTCCAAACATTCCCTACCTGCATCTTCCAATGCTTTACCCCTTGAGGTTTTGTAAGCAAAGCCTAACAAGCCACGAACAGAGCTACGTTGGATGGGCCAGAAACCCTACCCCTACGCCCCAGACCCTGAATCCTAAACCCGAAGCCTGGGCATACCTACATAGGTAGGGCCTAAAGTCTATGAATAGTACCCTCTCCCAAACTAGCATGGCATGACTCTGGTCTTTGTGGAGCCGCTGATGGGCTTCCGTATACATTTTAGGCGAGGACACCTACATTGAGCCATGTGGATCACTCGGAGTTTCTCTAAACAATCCGTATAGAATCCCTAAGAAGGTTAGGGTTTTGGGTTCCCCCTTATAACCCCTTTGTATCGCTACATTGAATTCCTTCGGCCCCCATGTTTCGAGAAACTCCCCCTGAGGCAGCGCCAGGCCTGTTCCTCGACGTGCACGAAGATGGTCATGATGCCAATGGCAATACCGTTGGAGATGTAGGCCTGGCGGAGCTCCCCACATCTGTGGAAGTTTCAGTACATAAGGGGTGCCTGTATGGAGGTCACCAGCATAGGGATCATAATGTGTTGGGGTCTATGTTGGGCCCCCTAGTTATGCAAACCCTAGACCGGAAACCTGAACATGTACGACTTGCGGCTTGGACATCTTAACCCGGGCCCTAACCCGTAAACCCTGACGGCCTATGCCTCATTTTTGGCCTTCAGAGGAACCACCATTGATCATTGTACAAGCAGCTCACATGGGGGAGGGCGTGGAATTGTGGACTGCCCAGCAAAACGAGGAGATTTGGCCTGTATGAGGGCTATGTAGAGAACTGAGTAAATGAGACTCGGGTCCCGACAAACGAGACTTAACAACAATGCCCTCCCTTGGGTCTGTCTGACCTTAAGGGGTCCGTGGGACCACAGTCATATAGTCACGTGGAATCAGAGTGCACTTGTCAAACTTGAAGGATTCAAAGAATGCTTAGTGCGGGGAACTCCACCTCAGCCTCATCCCTACACCCTAGATCTCTAACCTCGCCGGCTTGCCCCCAGAACTGGTCGGGCAGTAACCGCAACCACACTTCTTAAACCCAACATCTCTAGGTATGAATGATGAGGCTAGGTGCCACTCAAACTATTCCCCAAAATGTTCAAAGATTCTAAAATTCTAAAAGACCCTCTTCCTGCATATCCCAGTAGAGAACAAGAAGCCCCAAGTCAGCATGAAGCCACGCACTGTTGAAGCAGCCTACACCCCGTAGGGTTTAGGGTTTGGGGTCCTGTACCTTGGGAGGACTCCCCCACCATATAATAGAGGTATCATAGCAACATATTAGGACCCTGGTATAATCCTCATTATCCCATATAGTCTCTGTTATATCGTGGGGGGTCCACCTAACCGAGACCACAGCCACCTTCACACCCTCCGCCACTAAACAAAGGTTGGCTAAGGATCTTCCAGGGCTTATTTGGGCCTTCTTTGGGGTTGGGGTGTAAGGTTTAGGATTTAGGATTTATTCTAGGGTTTAGGGCTAATGTTACAGGATCCTATGAACACTTGCTGGAGCACCAGTGGGGCTAACATCTCCGATATCTGGGTGTCTTCGCGGTGGAAGCACCAGAGGTACCTGCCATAAAATTCCAAGCATCATGGTGCAGCCCTGGGCCTTCAGCATTGCATAAACGCATACGACAAACATGGTAGTTTCCCGAAATAGGGGGACCCCAGTATAGACTGAAAAATGCAATATTCCTTATTCTGGGGATGTTCCTTACTATGGGCCCCCCAAAAAAGGTTCTCCCCTAATCTTGGGAACCCCCCGCCCATGTGCGATTCTGCCAGAGCTCCCGGAGCCCTAGAACCCTAAACCTCCTAAACCGTAAGCCCTAAACCTAGGGTACTGCCCCCACACAGTAACAGTCTATATTAGGGGTCCTATTAAGGGCTATATATAACCATATTATATTTATTCTCCAACTGTTACTGAGGGGGGGCAGTACCCAACCTATATCTCTGGAAATCTACAAACGTCCCTTATGGCAGATTCTGAAGTCGGAATTCTCGTAAACTTGCAAGACGCA